GAGTTAAGACCTTATCGTAAAACCCTTTTCAGGGTATTAGAAGTGCTAGAGGCACAAAAATAAATGACTAAGAAGAAAGCATCCATGCAGCAACTCCAGACTCAACAGCCTCCTGTGTGTGGACAACTTTCACTACCTTACATTAAATATTCATTAGAGTTTCCTCTGAAACTGTTTTTACAAGTATCTATAAATAGCAAAATAAAATTTACTACAAGTCAAGCCAATGAACCCTTGAATGGTAGTCTAGCAAAAGAATATCCAAAGGAAAGGAATTCATGGCATCCGCTGCTATATTCTTCTGAGAGAAATCTTATGAGGACCTCTTTGTTACAGCATCACTCTCACCCATCCCACATCCCCAGTCAGCTATGTATATGCAAATCAAGATGTTGCTGCCCTATTTGCACGGGAGGAGTTACACTGAGTAGTTTTTATTTTGATCCAGAATTCATACTATTGTGTTCCAACTTTGTGAACCATGGAATATATGGTAGCTGGAATAAATCAATTCTGGAAGTCACATCCCCCACCCCATGGTTGATTATATAATGTCTTTTTATAACAATGACCCCAAATCCTGAAAGAAAGTATGTGGGATACCATTAGGCTAAATTAACAAAAATAAATATGCAAGGAGAAAGCCTCCTTCCCTCTCAGTGGACAGTCATATGCTTTGTGATCATGTGATCATGTGATCATGTGTACATGTTGCATACGGATCTGTTGAGACACACACCAATATGGGATAAGGTGGCAGCCTACCTGTAACGCCATCAGTAGGCAGACAGAGATGGATGATTCCCAAAGCAAGTTGGTTAGCTAGACTGGCAAGTTATAGGTTCAGTAAAAGACCCACCTTAGTAAATAAGGTAAAGATCAATTAAAAAAGACACCCATCATCAAGCTACTCTCTCCAAACATGTGTGCATACACACATGGAAACATACATAATACATTCAATACATGCATACTATACAGATACACACATTCATACACAAAGAGAGGAAAACGTGTGCATATCATATTAGGAATATGGCATAGAGAATATAGTAACACTTGAATGGTCAGGGAAGGGAGGTGAGCCAGCAAATATCCAAAAAGATGCAGGTTTCCTGGCTCCTGTCATGGTACCAGCTTACTACATTAATATTCTTATCTCCCTGGCTTCCTAGAATCAGAGAGAAGGCAATCTTTCTCTGTGCAGATTTAGCACACTACTAAGAACATTTGGAAATTAATAACCACCATTTGAGGATGAGAGTAAAACATTGTTTCAAAAATAGTAAGTCATACAGAGCAAGCACCAGCCTGAATTAATTTGGTATCTGCTTGGAGCTACTGAAAACGGCTATATGCAAATTCATATTATAATGATCTTATGAAAATGTATTTTTTTTTGCTCACATAAATATAGTACTAAACAGCTATGGCATTATATCTAGATCCAAATTTCAGTCTATGCACATATTGCTAAATGTCAAATGTATTCATATTCATTTATATCTGAATGCTGCATTGAGTGGAAAACTATAAATCATTCATTCCAAAATAAAAATAAAAATAAAGAGGATATGCAGCCACATTTAGCACCACAGATGAACTTTATTTATTTTACAGTTAGGTGGGGAAGTGAATAAGCATTTTCAAACAGAAGCTATGACTGAAAACTTAACCAAACTGCAAAGTACACTAGCTCCCACACATCTTTGTTTCTCCTCACAATATCACTTGTTCTTACCCTCCCATCCTTTGGCCATCCATGGGCAGTCTCTGTTTCATTGAAGACCTTTTCTATTAGGGTACATAGCACAGCCCAGAGCATCACAAAATGTTCTACCCATATTCACATTCATTATTCTCTATCCAACTGTTTGAATTGATGTCTCCTGAATGGTAAACTGGGTAGATGCTGAATGACCCTATTTAGACTTGTTTATTTCACTCACCCTTTGAATTACCTATGAGAACTTATACCACCTTTAATAATTTCCACTTTGCACAAAAGTATTCCCCATACATGTCAAAGAACAATGTATTTGCCATTATACAGGACTTAACACAAATATCACTTCTCCATTGTATCAAAATAATAGCAGCTAACAGTGTGTGTGTGTGTGTGTGTGTGTGTGTGTGTGTGTGTGTGTGTGTGTGCTATAACATTCAGTCTTTAAACAAGTCTATTAGGAAGGTGCTAATAACTTCTGCCAAAAAAAAAATGGTGTAAAGAAAGTCTAAAGAAAGTCAGAAAACTGTCATGTAAGACTTGTTTGTAGGTCTATTTAATTCCAAAGCATAAACAACAAAATTTTTGATGAATGACTGGCTTGACTTTGAGATAAGCCTTCTGCCTTTAAGAGGCAGTGGTCATTTTGAAGCCATTCAGTTGCTGCTTTGAGATAAGAAGTCCAGGCCACAAACTCTAAAAAGCAGCCACTTTACAATAAGGTGAGTAGTAAGTTCAAGAATTCACTGTCAAATACAGTTTTAGATTCTATTAAAAACCCATGCCTGTGGTGTGTGTGTGTGTGTGTGTGTGTGTGTGTAGTAAACAGGGCCATACTGCTATAATTAGTTAGCCCCCATTCAGTTACAAGTAATGTAGAAAAGACTAGAGCCTTGTATTATGTACCACGCAACCCAGTTAAAGGTCACCTGATATATTCAGCATGACCTCTGCAGTGACACTCTGCTGCTGTGTTTCTACACTCTCATTATAACCCTCCTAATTTTTGAATACTCGGTAGCACCTTCATTTTACCTAGCTTCTCAATACAAGTTGCTTATTGTTGCTTACTGGCTTTGCACGTGGCATCCGACCCTGAAATAGGTTTTATAAAGCCTCCAAAGGCAGCCTCAGGAGGTCTCCATAGAAATGGCCCCAAGGCTGTCTCCAAAGTGGCCCTGTCTCAGTTGCCATGGTAAACAACCAGGCAGATTGCTATATTCAGTTCGCTGCCAGGGTCGCCATGGTGACTGCAAAGACCTGCTCCTTAGAAGGACCTCACAAGGGCAGGTTTCCATGGTGACACCCATCCTGCATATTTCCAAGCAACATCTTTTTTGGTTGTCCAGTGACCAATCATGGCAGATTCATTTGTGGGTGATTCTTAAAGGTTTCTAACAATGCATCATGGCACACGGGGATTTTAGATTGTATAAAACACATGACTGTGGTGGACATCTCTATGTGATCAGTGAAAGGACCTGTAAACACATTATTAGAAAATGTAAATGGGGAATTTTACAGATTGTCAAACTAGACAAATCTCTTTTGATGAGTAATAAAGTAAAATTTTAAAACCTGCCAACCAATATACATCAATAAAAAAAAACACGTATAATGCTTATACAACTGCTTCAAAACTTAATTTCAAATGTTACAGGATATAATGGAATACTTAAATTTTAAAATTTCCCCAATTCTATAACAACTATGAAGGAATTAAATACAGTGGTAATCAAACACACACACACACACACACACACACACACACACACAAATTAATTAATCAATTAAATAACTTTAAATTAAAAAAAAAAGCATAATGTAGGAGGGAAGGCCATCCCCAACAAATGGTGCCTTGGTAAATCATGTTATTATTCTCTGGAAATTTTAAAGTCTCTAGTATTTACCCAAGCATAAGATTTTATCTAAGTACTAGTCTTAATGATTGTTAAAATAATTTAACAAATAGAAAATAATCCTAATGTTCAAATGACGCAATTAAAATTTCTGTACTGTGTCCACACTGTTTTTTTTTTTTTCTTCCAGTAGACTCTAAAGAGAACAACACATACACAAATACAAGCCTGTAGGAAAAAGGTTAATTTTATGTTGATTTTCTTTTCTCTTCATGGTGATATAACATATAACATTTCCTTTGATCACTAAACTCCCCCATTTGTGTATTTTCCATTACCCTTCTTTAGGAATTCCTTTCTCCAGCTCTGTCACCTACATCTCCACACTCTCCATTTGCTTTCCACTCAGACAACAGAATTTCAGCTTGGAAAATATATAGAATCAAGAAACAAGAGTAAAGTTCCCAGTCAGATTTTAATGAGTCAGTGTTTTTAAGAAATTGCTTTTGTAGAGATCTCTTGATTTTAGACTTCAGTAACTTCATGTGGATCCGAGTGGTCACCAAGATTTTTATGCTTTCACTAAATATCTATTGAGTGACTAGCACAGTTTCCTAGTACAGGCTGGAAACACTCCCCCAAAGAACCACCAATTCCTGCCCTTAAAGTGTTTCCATTATGGACAGGGAGATTTGGAGAGGAGGCAAAGCAGGGGGGGAGGCAGCAGAGGACATAGGAGAGTTTGAAGGAATTACAAATAAAATCTTACGTCATAAAATGATTAAAGCAAGCAGAAGGGATGAAAACCCACTGAGAGGTCAGACTGAGGAAGCTACAATGTTACAGTCTCACAGTGGGGTTCTAGGATTTCCTCACCACAAATTTGACTAAGTGTACTCAATACCTATTCAATGCCAATCTAAATATTTGTTTAAACTAAAACATATTCTTCATAGAACATCCAATATAAGTTAATGCAGATGAGTCAATTCCCCTTTCTATGTTTTCACTGTGAAGCAGTGCAGACTGCTATAGACAACAGCATCCACTTCAACAGCAAAGACCAAGACAAACGCTCCCTTTCAAGTCTTACTCAATCTTAAAAAGAACATTTAGTGTTTTTTTTTTTTTTAAAAAAAAAAAAAAAGGTGGGTAACAGGAAAACATGTTGGTCAAAACTGAAAATCGATGATGAGGTTTTCTGACAATGGCAAAACATAAGAATTCATTATAACATAAAATTTCATGAGCAAAATTTCCCATATTTTAAGGGAAAGGATTAAGCTTTAACAAGGAGTTTATTTGCCAAGACACTTACAAAGTGTGATTTTTTTGACTGAGTACTGATCTGAAATGAGGTTAAGTACTTGTCACATCTAGTTCTGAGGTTTGAGTGGGTGTGAGAAAGAGGAAACCATGCTGTCTCCTGTTTGTATTTGATCTCTTCTTTTCATAACACCCTTCATATAAAAATAAAAGGATAAATCAAGTTGGAGTTTACTGTAGTAATATTTGCCCATAACAATTATTTATGTTTTAGAATATAAATAATCATGGAGAATATATTCCTGATGTAAACAGTCATTTGGAGTTACAATATTTTTAAAGAGTAGGTTTCTTTACTTTTTAAAATCTCAACTGTAATCAAGTATTTAAAATTATTTTTATAAATCTTTTATTAGGTTTCCCAATGCACATTTTATCAGTTTAAGCAAAACATGCACGCTTAATATTTGATGGCAAACTATTCAAAGAGACCAGAGAACAGAACAAATAAGCAGTAAAGGTCAATGACAGCAACTGAAACATATGTTCTGTCATTCACTGGGGCACCAGAGGGATGACCTGGATCACTAACCTGGAAATATCTATAACCATTGGAGCATCTCATTTGACCAGAAAAGGACAGTTAATCAAACCACCAATTATATCCTAAATCAGAGAGCTGGAACATGCATTCACATCTTAAGAATTTCACTGTAGCTGATAATGTATAAATATTCATAATTAGCCAAACTTTGCTGAGAAATCATGGTTTTTTTGGTTAACTGATAGCCCAATCTTGTTGACCTGAATAATTATAACTTCATGTATTAATGTTCTTGAACTTAAAACACCCTTGTGAATCAATGGGAATGCAGGACCCTTCTACACCTTTATTATATTTCCCCTGTCTTTCACACTGCCTTTCCTTAGGTAACTCAGTTTTCTTATAAGATTTAGACTTCAACGTCATAGGCAGGAGGAGTTGTCCCTTGTAGTAATTTTTCCCTGGGCTTAACAATGTTAATTAAGGGAATATTAAAATTGACTCTGGGTTAGAAAACAACTCCACCAGTGACAGAAAAGGTATAGTACGTGAGAGAGGTTCTACGGGGAGAGGCATCTAGATGTGGTAAGTTGCATGGAAGTCAGATAACATGTCTCTGAAGTATTTCCATGAGTACTAGAATGCACTGGGTTAAAAATGTGTCCAGAGATATAATGAATCAATTTTCTCACCTAGAAGAAATGCCTCTCTCTGATAATTTATAGGCAGTTAAGAGCTGTTAAGAGTTAAAGGGGATCATGAGGCCCCATCTGTCTTTGAGGATCTATAGGTTGTTAATAGTTACGAAGGGAAGGACAGAAATTTTCTTCAGTGGTATTACCACTAGTAAGTTGCTCATGTTCCCGTAGCCACCCACCTTGTTCTGTTCTCGTAAGCAACCTAATGAAACTTAGTGGGTCCAATCAATCAATCAATCAATCACTCAATGAGTCAATCAATCAACAAGGCATGAATGTAGAAGTTGGGAAGAAAAACTATCATTTGGAGTAGAAGAGGGACAAGAGAAGGCAATGAGGAAATGAATATGATAAAATATATGCACCTATAAAGATATATTGAAGCCAATTATGCATAATTAATATATGCTATAGAAGAAAAATTAAAGTGATTGACTTTTTTCCTAATCTCAACAAAAACAATAGAAAATTCAACGAATTATCACAAATTCCTTTATAACATTTATTTTGTTTAATGTTAGGACCCCTCTGTGGTGGTTTGAATAGGTATGTCACCCCATATCATGAGTTCCAATGTTTTGCCCATAGGGAATGGCACTATTATGAGGTGTGGTCTTGTGAAGCAGGTGTGGCCAAGTTGGCAGAAGTGTGTCACTGTGGAAGTCAGCTTTGGGGTCAATTTTGGCCAGTGGGACATGGACTCCTGCTGCCTGCAGATCAAGATGTAAGCCTCACAGAGCCTTCTCCAGCACCATGTCTGCCTGCATGTTGCTAGTACCACTCTGACAATAATGGACTAAAATTCTAAAACTGTAGGCCAACCCCAATTAAGTGTTTTCCATTATAAGAGTTGCTGTGGTCATGGTGTCTCTTCACAGAAATAGAAACCCTAACTAAGATACCCTCTTTTCCAAATGATTTGTACTGTAATTAAATCCCACATACTTAAGGTCTGCTTTTGTGTCATGCTTCACATTCATGAATTTATTTTGAATATACATATATACTTTTTAAGATTACAAAATTTTAATCATTATTTTTATCAAGATATCACTACTGATTATTTTAACCCAGATGAAAAGATTTCAATGTAAAACGGAAGCAAAAATGTAATATAAAAACTACTGATTATATCATAGGTGACTATAAAATCATTCAACCATTGAGGAGATATATTCTTCCTAATGGCTATAATGATTTTTCAGAACTTTAGAATTTGCTTTCATAATTTCTACCTTGACTTAACATAAGACTCTCCAGAATGTAAGGTCAAAAGTCTGAAAAGTTCACACTAGAGCTAATGACTCTATTGAAGAAAGCCTAAACATGATAAACAAAAAAAACACCTCATGTTTAAAAGGATATGCTACCTTTTTATTTTTTTTTTACCAAGATAGAAACACTTTTTTAAAAAGGTTTTTAGGTTTATTTTGGTTGTCATCTAAGTACAAACTTAAAGGGCTTTTCATCAGGCCAAAAGCACCTCTGTCCAATCCATACCTGGCTCTCTGGACAGAAGAAAAATGTATATGCTTATAGCCCAAATCTGTAGTTTTTGCTAGGACTCCAAGTTATAAATATGTTCCTGCTGTTTGAACAGCTATCCAGATATCTGCTTTTTCTGCACTGTGGGCTTCAATAAATAAGCTTTAACCTCTGTTCCTAGTTTAAAGATGTCTTAAACAGGTTTCTGCTTCTGGAAGACATCTGAGTATCAGTTGCTGACTACAGGCTGTTCTAAGTAGACTGTGAGCCCTGGACTTGCTGTGGATGTGAACCAGTTCAGCTGATATGGACACACCCTGTCTCTGCAACAGAGTCTGCTAACCAGAAGCTCCTGATGGATTCCCCATTGCCTAAATTCCTTTTTTGCTTTTGACTAGCATTTCAACCTTCTGGGGTCCCTAACTTCTTCCCAAAGTCAGCAGGAAGTAGCTTGGGAAAGAATTCAACGCCCATTTTCCCTGGTTAAAATGCTAAGTCAGGAGGGACTCCCTTGCATGGGGATGCCATTATCTCTCACTCCCTGATGGGGGCGCTAGAGAGACAGCAATTCCATGATTGGAATTTCCAAAAAAAGAAAATGGGGAAATGAAGGGACCAGCTCCCCATTTTGGCAGCCACGACAGTAACACATGCTTGCCATAACCTTGCCTTGGTCACTTAGAGGTCAGACGCCTGCCTCATGACAAGAAACCAATCAGAAGTTAGTTGGTAGCGTTTTATGCTTTACTACCCTGGGTGTACTTTACGACAAGCACACAGCAATGACACACAGAGCATGGCAACCACCCTGGGAGGGCCTATGGACCATAACAACCAGTTGGTCAATCAACACAGGGCAAACCCTCCAATCCTGGAGGCACACCAATCCTGAGCCTGTGCATACCCCTAGACATTCCCCTTACGCTGCCCTATAAAGATCTGTATGCAGCGGGTTCGAGCTGTCTTTGCTAGCCATCCACCATGGCATGGCGGGTGGTGATAGACCCGAGCTAACATGGGGTTAGCTCATTAAAAAAATAAATAAATAAATAAAGCCTCATGAAGTTTTCAGCAAAAAAAAAAAAAAAAGATTCCTAGAAATCAAGTTTGTATAACATCAGAAATCAATCATGATTTTGACTATAAACTGCTCTGAAATATTATTTTAAGATGTGATGTATTCCTTTATGCTGTGGAATATTTGTTTAATGATGCAAAGAGGTGTTACATTCTTTTTTGTTGCATTTATTTAACTACGTGAAGCTGTGTTACTTTGCCTGCTTAAAACATCCGTTTGGTCTAATAAAGAGCTGAACAGCCAATAGCTAGGCAGGAGAGGGACAGGCAGGGCTGCCAGGCAGAGAGAATAAATAGGAGGAAAGAAAGAAAAGAGGGAGGAGTGAGAAAAGAGGAGAAGATAATGCTGGGGGACAGAAACCCAGCCACACAGTCAGACATGGAATAAGAAGGAAAAAAGAAGTATACAGAAACAGAGAAAGGTAAAACCCAGAGGCAAAAAGGTAGACAGCATAATTTACATTAAGAAAAGCTGGCTAGAAATAAGCCAAGCTAAGGTTGGACATTCCTAAGAAAGAATAAGTCTCCATGTGATTATTTGGGAGCTGGGTGCTGGGGCCCCCAAAGAGTAAAAAGTAAAGAATAAAAAAAAAATAAAAGAAAACTATAACAAACAGAAGGGCTATATTAGAATATAGGTTTAGATTCCCTCACTGTCATCCTCTTCCATTTCCCTAAAATAGTAGACATCTGAAGGAGCCACTTTACTCAGAACACAAGGCAATAAAGGACCAAACACACTGACACTATAGACAAATATAGGTTTAGATTCCCTCACTGTCATCCTCTTCCATTTCCCTAAAATACTAGACATCTGAAGGAGCCACTTTATTCAGAACACAAGGCAATAAAGGACCAAACACACTGACACTATAGACAGCATTACCAAATACAATTGTCTGGGAATCTTAAGTTGAACTGAGGAGGAAGAATGTAAAATGTGGATACAATAAACAGCAGACTTTTCAAATAGTATAAGAGAGCTTTTTAACTTGAAAGATTTCATTTGAAAAGCAGCCCAAAGGCAAAGCAGATTATCAAGACCCTACTCAGTCACTTTCTACATAAAATATACATAATATATATTAAATATATTTTAGAATCATAAATGATACAAGAGTGTAACTCTCAAGGAAATAAATCTATAAGTCATACAAAAGAAATGTTTTAAAGCAAAACATTTAAATCCTGAGTAAATCTTGATGCTTAGGATTGACGACAATCTTACAAATTATTGATGTTGCTATTAAGTATCCCAATCTTTACCTACTGTGGTCTTCCAGCCATTGACTCATGGATGCAGTGAACAGATACCTCTTAGGCATCTATGTGTAAAACATCCCATGAGGACAGGAAAGAGTCGTGGAAACACAGATATAGAATCAAGTAGGCAATAGCAGTGAGATTCTTAATAGAGGGTCTTACCATTAACATCTCACTGTAAAGCACATACTCATGGACAACAGGCAGCAAGGCCTCTGACAGGCCAGTCATCCGCTTCTCAGTGGCCTTACAGCACTGGTCAATGCAGCTGGCGATGCCTTTCAATGTGTCAACCAGGTCTTCCTCTGATGCTGACCACAGAATATGAATGGGGCCATATTCTTTCATTTCATCAAAATAATCTAAAACAAAAAAAGAGACAGGCAGTTTACAAGTTTTATGCTTTATTTTTATTTGTATTCATTTGGTTGGTTGTATAAGTGTATGCTACATGCTACCCACAGGACCAGAAGAGGGCACTGGGACCCTTGGGGCTAGATTTGGAGGCTGCTGTGAGCCCACATCCTCTGGTACAGCCAGCAGTAAGCAGTCTTAACTGCTGAGCCATCTCTCCAGCCCCTTTAAATGCTTTTCAAAATTCCTATATTATAGTAGGACTTTGTCTCATTCTATACAAGTTTATCTCCCTTGGATATAAGGGTGCTTGTGTTATATCATTCATTAACTAACCAGCTATCCTCGACTGAACAAGTCAGTTTTTGAAGTGCTACTGTGTAAGTATAAGCAAAATTGTATGCCCTTTTCATTGTCCAGGCTTGGGAAAATATATCCTACCACCATCATAGCTATTAGAAACTTCTACTTGTCATATAATTTTATCTAAGTATATTACAGCCAAGAGGTCCTAAGTAAAATCTGTTTTCTTTTCTTTTAACTATATACACTCAATAGTAATTACTACCAATTAATGTAAGCAAAACTACAGGGTCCTTCCTATATTCTCAAACAATCTCCATAAACACATGATGTTCTCTAAATTTAATCTTCTTGCCATGTGGTCTAATTCGCTATAATCTATCCTGACACTTGAAGATATTACTAGCTATATCAAGTGAACTCAAGAAGTTTCAAAACAATAAAGATATGAGTTATCTCATGAGCATCAATGTTTTATTCTAAGTTCTTCTTAATTTCAGTTTTCTGAGGCTTAGGTTCTTCTTTGTTAAAGAGTAATGACACTAACATAGAAAACAAAAAATTCAACAGTTCTGTTCTCAGTATGTGTGCTCATTGATGGCTATTGTTAGGCCGCTATTTTTACTACAAAATTATTTTTACTTCTTAAAATTATACAGTATTCAAACACACCTGTATGCCAGCATTCAGTAAGTTCCCCTGGAATTCAACTAGTTATATATGTATCAAGTTCACTGTGAGGTCTGGGGCATCTACAGGCATAACTGCTTTAGTCCATTGCACAGAGAAACAACATTCTGCCAAGTAAATTGGGAAGCAGAAAGGAAAAGGAAACCAAGCATTGTTTTTAAAAGTGCAAAATGAAAACCATCAAAAGAGAGACTGCTGCTTATTACCCTCCAGTTTTCCTGATGTGTATATGAATGAATGCCTTGCACAGGTTAGATTGCAAAATTTCTAAAGGACTCCATAAATTTGAGTGCAATCTTGTCCTCCAGGTATGTAAAACAGGCTTAACATATTGCCTTTTCTTCTTTTTTGAAATTAAAGTTTTTCATACAGTATAGTTTGATCAAGTTGTTCCCCTCCCGTAATCCATCCTGATCTTAAATAATGAGAAGTCTCAAGTATGTGCTGGAAGCATTCACTCTGAAAACAAGAGCTCAACTTTACAAAGGCTGTCAGGATTGGGCTTCCTTTACAAGGAGTAAAGTCTACTAAACAACCTTCTTGACACAAATTCAACGCTTGTGGATGCCCTTATGGCTCTTACAGGATAACAGCTTCTGCAGTATGCTTCAAGTTGCTAGCCAGCCTAACTGAGCATCTAGAATCAGCCACACAGAACTGCAATCCCAGAGCCTAGTTAAACTAATTAGCTTCCTGAGAGTAAGAAAAATGGTAAACCAGTTGTGGTGTTATACAACTGACATCCTAGCATAAGGACAGCTAGGCAGAGTACTTGTTGAGAATATATAAATGTGTGTGTGTGTGTGTGTGTGTGTGTGTGTGTGTGTGACAGAGAGAGAGAGAGAGAGAGAGAGAGAGAGACAGAGAGAGAGAGAGAGAGAGAGAGAGAGAGAGAGAGAGAGAGAGAGGGAGGGACGGAGGGAGGGAAGGAAGGATGGGAAAGCAAAAATACAAAAGAAGAAACAAATGAGAACTATAAAGAGGATCAAACCCACTGTACATATTATAGGAAAACAACTACTGGTTTTCATTTTGAGTATTTCTTATTGGTTAAGTCTCTGGATGTTTAGGTATGTATGTATGTACATGAGTGTGCTCATGTATGTGTCTGTACACTGAGGCTGGTAGTTTATGTTTGGCACCTTCCTTTATGGCTTTTCGCCTTTTATTTTCAGACAGGAAGGATCTCTCAGTGAATCTAGGGCCCTGCTACATTTGGTTAGACTGACTAGGCAGTGAGCCTCTGGGATCCTCCTGTCTCTGCTCCTCAGCTCTGGAGTTACAGATGCATGCCTTTTGTACACAGAATGCATAGGGAGACTAAAACTCACTTTCTCACGCTTCAGCAATACTTCAGCCACTGAGCCATTTCCTACTTCCAATCTCCTTTTCCCCCTTTAAATCCATTTATTCTTTTATTTAGGGAGGGGTATGTCACAAGTGCCACACAGTGCATGTGGAGGTCAGAGGACAACCTGAAAATATGAATCTCTCCCTCTACCAAATGGCGGCTCTCTACATAGTACAGACTAGAAATAAAACAGAATTTCCCCCTGCCTATCTTAAAGGACCTTACAGTTTAATAATAGACACAGACAACTGACAAATTAACAAATAAGTCATCAGTATAATTACTTGTATTTGTAAGAGGCCCCTGGTCTCCAGTAAAAACATGTAATAGAAAACATGTTTGCTGAGTCAGCTATCTCTTCAAAATTTTAAAATTAGAAAATAAAAATCATTATGCAATTGGAGCAGAATCATTGAAAACTAAAGATTAGCCTGACTTAAGAGGCAGATAATAGGAAAACCCTTCATTTCCCAATATTTAAGTCTTTCTGGCACACATAAAAAGCCCTAGCTAACACATCATTCTACCTACCCCCACCACCACCACCACCACCACCAGTAAAACACTGGAGAATATGAAAAATGCAATACCTGAAATGCCATTCTTTGATTTTTGAAACATGGTCCATGTTTAGTATTTGAGACTACCATGACAGAACTAAATTCAAAATCTCAAGTTCAGAACTGGTATTGCAGTCATAGTCTACACATGGAAGCCAGAACAGCTAGAGCTCCACAAAACCAAATGGAGACTGGTTATGACTACCAAAAGACCACTTAGGAAATATGTGTGTACATGTGTTCAGGGTGTATATGTGTGCAGGTGTATATGTGTACCTGTGTGAGTGGGTACTGGCGTGATTGTGCCAGAAGATGTGTGTGGGGGTGTCAGAAGACAACTTGGGTGTGGTTCGGAAATGCCCAATTAGTTTCATGAGAAGTGTCCTCCAGTAGGATATTAGGCTCCGTGATGCAAACAGACCTACTGGATAATGAACCCTTCAGATGTGCCTGCCTCTGTCTCCCCATCACCAGGTTTCCGTGCTCAAGCTACTCCACCCAGGTTTTTATGTGGCTGCTGGAAATCCTACTCAAGTCCTTATATCTGAGAGTATGACAATCATTTAAAGACTTGAGCCACCTGCCCAGCTTCTGTAAAATTTTCAATAGGTGGCAGGGCATGAGCCATGTTTTATAAGTAAAATCCTCACAGTGTCACCACACCACATCACAGCAGCCAAAGGGAAGATCTAAAAGAAGTTGAACATTCATATGATCAGTCCTCAGCGACCCCCACATACCTCTTTCTTCCTTGTAGATTCTCTGAGATATTTTGTCTATTAAATTAATTTTCTGGCTAAATGTTTCGATGAAGCTATTCATTTCCATGAACTCATCTGGCCGGTTCTTCACTCCTCTCATGGAGGATGCCACAGCTCTGACTGTCTGCCCCATCCTGCTCAGCAAGCCAGGTCCTTGCTTCTTATAAGACGATAGTTCCTAGAAACAAAAAGTGAAAAAAAAAATAAAAAGCGTAGTGAGTCAATCAACAGCTTTACACAGTGCAGAAAAGAGTAAGACAGAGACAACAACACACTTCTCTGTGCATCTTTTTTTAAAAATAATTCATTTTTATGTTCATTGGTGTTTTGCCTGCATGTTACGTCTGTGTGAAGGTGTCAGATGCCCTGGAATTGGAGGTACAGACAGGTGTGAGCTGCCAGGTGGGTGCTGGGAATTGAACCTGGGTCCCAGGGAGAGCACATAGTACTCTCAACCCCTGAGTCATCTCTCCAAGCCCCTGTGCATCTGAAGCATCTGAATTTCTTTTTGGTAGCATCTTCCTACACTGCAGTCTACTGGATAATAGTCCATGTCAAAGCACTCATGTAAAACACGTGCACAGACTTTTCTCAGAGCATAAATCTTTAAAATAACAACACTGGGATCGGTGATCAAGAAGATATGCACAAAGAGTATGAAGTGATGAGCAATCTGTATTCCTTTTGTTTTAATATTTATTATTACTTTATGTTCATGTGAGCATATTTGCCCATATATATATTTGTACCACATTCATGCAGTGCCCTTCGAGGCCAAAAGAGGGTGTTTGGTCCCCTGAAACTGATGTTACAGACAGTTGTTATACACAGAACTGAACTCGGATCATCTGCAAGAATAGCAAGTGCTCTTAACCACCAAGTTATCTCTCTAGTCCCCAACCTATATTTTAGAACATATATTCCATATAAAAATGATGCAGAGATCATTCTTAGGGTCTACATTAACAGAGAAAAGAGTGGATGATGAATTCTTCAAGAATAATAGCTGACATTTATTAAGAGCTCAATGTGGTCCAGTAACTACATGCATGGTTTTCAAAGCACAACTGAGAGTAAACCCATGTGATAGGTACTACCATTTCCCTCATTATCAAAGGAAAATAGGGACACAGGTAGAGTGAGTTCAAGATGTACAAGCAATTAAGCAATGGGAGGCCTTGGGTGTGAATCACAGCAATCTGAATTTAGAGGTCCCACTGCTACCAGAATATTCTGCCTCCTTCAAGTTTGCACTTAGTTCATAAGCAGACAGTCTCTGATCACAGCTCTTCAACCAACTGGAGTGGGTAAACTAGGATGCCACCTCCACTGACTGGCTGTCTGCAGAGGAAGCTGTCTAATAAAACACGCACCTAGCTATTTCAGAGCTATCATGGGAGAGAAATCTACAGACATTAAATAAATAGAAAAGGACATACTAAAAAAATGAAAAACAAACAAACAAACAAAAAAACAGAAAAGGACATACTATAAAAGAATATGCAGCCCATGAAAATCATCCCTTGAGAAATACAGTGTGCTTAAGCAAACAACAAAACAGAACTCATGAATTTTGAGGAGCGATACAGCATTTGGGGAAACATGGGTTTGTTTGGGATCAAGTAAATTGGAGAGCAACACACACACACACACACACACACACACACACACACACACACACACACACAGAGAGACACACACACATTAAAAATAATATTTGATTTGTAGATTTATAAACAACATGTCATTTACCCAAATATGAATAACATATTGTCTGTCTTTAGAAAGGTCTTTCTTCCCTAGAGTTTTACAGAAAACACATCTGTGGCTAAATAGTAGCAGGTATCATCACTGACCAGACACTCCATTCATCCAAGAGTGCCACAGACTTACCCAAGAACACATACCTTATGGGCAGCCCAAACTGTAGCTGACAACCTGTTACTTCAGTTCTGAGTTAACATGTTCTTGCATTCATACTCTGGAGAATGTTTCTGACAGCTTCTAAGGTTCTAGAGTCAGGTCACAGTTCATTTCACATAATCTACTAAAGGCTGTCAGATACAGGACCCTGAGTCAAAACTGACAGGACCACTCTTTGGTCTGGCTTCTAATACTCTAGCAACATCTGAGAGATGTAAAATTTGACTTTTGTTTATAATTGCTACTGAACCACTGCCTATCTATTATCTTTCTTACAAAGTTATTATTTCATAAAAATAGAAAAGTAATAATAGATACAAAATTTCTACATGTAAAAAGTAAAAACATCTCCACCATAGGTAACTGAAGGAAAAGTAAAGAGAGTGCTTTTATTTAACCATCCACTCAATTATATATCTAGTCAACAACTTAATAATGATATCTATCCTTGTTAAAGCAACCTTAACCTCATTATTACTCAGAATAATTTCAATAAAAATTTATGTAGGAACTAGGGAGATGGCTTGGTGGGTAAGTCACTTGCTGTGTAATCATGAGGACCTGAATTTGAATCTCTAGAATCTCTAATTGTAGAGGAATACCTCTGTAGTCACAGTACTTCCACAATGAGGTAAAAGGCAAAGACAGGAGAATGCTCTGGAACCTGAGGAACAGTTATCCAGAGATACAAAGTGACAAGCAACAAGGATACACTATCTCAGGGAGCACTAAAACCCAAGGTTATCTTCTGTTCTCCAGATTATAAGCTCTGGAATGCACAAATCCACACAAGAATGGATAACACACAGGATCTTGTACCTGTAAACCATATGCACATAAACACAGAGAGAACAACATATTCATACTTGACCAGAGTTGATTACATATGCAAGGATCACCCTGTCATTGAAAAAAATTAAGAGAAATGAGAGTATGTGTATGGGAGGAAACAGCAGATTTCCATCACGTTCACATGTTGACTTGGCTCCAGGGTTATACCCGAAGAAGTCACTCCTGTGTTTTTTAAAACAATTGACTAACACACTTGAAGGACACCGTTGCCTAATGTGTAAAGGTGAGAAGGAGGGAGCATACACTCTGCTGCACACACAGATATGAAGTGGGTGTTATGAATACAAAATAGAACAATTTACCGGGGCTTGTGCAGTGAGGAAAACCTTGAAATCTTCATTAAACGTTAAAGTTGGATGATCAGCAATCCTGTTCAGAAACTTATGCAATGCCTTCCTGCGGGTTTCTATGAAGTCATCGTTGAATCGTTCCACCATCCCTTTCACGATAAACTTTTCTGGTAATGGCTGAGACCAAAAGCAAAAAAATGACAACCATCTGAGAAAGCATGTACTCGACAGTGGAGTAGCTGAGGGATGGAGATGGATATGAGGGAGATGCGGGCAGAGACCAGAGAGGAGTAGTGGGGAACAGCCACAGCTAAGTACATATGCAAATGCTCAAAGGAACCCTGGTGTTTTCTGTACCAATACAAAAATAAAATAAAACACATATTTAAAAAAAAATCAATCTGAAGGCTAGTGAGATGGTCCAGCAGGCCAGGGCACTTGCTGTCTGTCAAGCCAGACAACCTGAGCTTAATCCCAGCATCCACATAGTGGAAGGAGAGAACTGACTCCAAGTTGTTGTCTGACCTCCACACACACAATAAATAACACCTGAAGTTTTAAAACCTGACATATAACAGGTCACACACAGGGTTGCAAGGAATTCTGAAGATCAGTTGAATTCCTCAACATTTATTATAAGAGTAAATTTAAAAATTCTAGAGTAAGGGCTGGGAATCTGACTCAGCAATTAAGCACTCTTGCTGAGCAGGCCTGAGTTCAATCTCTGGTGATCCAGGTGGTGGAAAGAGAATCTCCCCCTAGCACCCCAGTATATCTCAGACCTCCACATGCATGGCAGCACACATGTGCCACCCCACAATAAATAAATGAGTGTAACACATTTATAAAAATATATAGTAGAGAAAAAATAAAACATCAGTCTATATTACAACATTGAAAAGTACATGTTCCTAAGATAAATGAACTTTGGTTTATTTACAGGCTTATGGTTCAGGCAAAAGCAAGCACAGTGGCTATAGTATAAACAACAACCACAAACCCTTAGAAACTCACTGGAATAATGAGCGTGGGATGTGCATCCTCCAGTTTCCCCTTCAACCAAAGGAAATCTTGATAACGTCGCCTGACTTCAAATTCACTGGAATCAAATTCCCCACGAGATGTCTGAAGGAAGCAGGAAAACAGAACAGCTCAAACAGTATAGGACAGAAGACATTTGCTTAATTCTATTTTAGATATTATGAAAAAAATTGGGTCTCTAAGAAAACTAGAATCCTAATTATTCAGTGTTTGTCAGCCTGCGTGTAATTTTTTTGTCATCTATTCATGCAGCAGATGAAATTAAGCGAACTTTCCGGTTTTTCCAGAAAGAAAGCAAACACCATGCTTAAATTTGAAGTCCAAACTGAAAACTCTGCCTTCCAACCACCATCTGGCTGTTTTAACTACCATGACTCTGGCATGGCTTTCTCGCTTAGAAAGTGTGCTCAGAATGTAGGTTTCAAACATTATTCTTTTCTTACCATGATTAGAATTCAGAATTTGAGGAAAGTTCTATTTTTAAAATCTGGAAAATAACCTGAATACAACTGAGAAGACTGTTCTCTTGGACATCGTTCAACTGAAGTGCTTTAGAATTTGCTGTTGGTATGTAAAAATTCTAACATCTTGCAGAGTGATTTTGCCACTTTTTCAAGAAGAATGTAATTAATGGATATTTAATGTGAAAAATATTTTTCCTATAATTTCTCAAGGAGTTTTATTTTGAGCTACATGCTTAAACTCCTAAAATTTTAGCAAATACGTTAAGCTCTGTGTACCCAGTAAATGAAAACTCTGTGCCAATGCATGTGACAAGGACACGAGTTCAGTATCAACCTCACAACTACTGCCTGAATCTCAGACCAAAATAAAAGTAGCATTTCTTTAATTCATACTTACCTCTAATGAGAAAATAATCACTTACACCAATGGCTCATTTAGGTGAATTTTTGCATACAAAATATATACAGTAATATTTAGCTTGAGATATTCCTGAAGGACTAAAGATGGAAAAACATATTGCAAACATATCCCCCTCTCACAAAAAATGACACGTGAACCAGTTATAAAATTAAATAGGTTAAGTCATAAGGTGTAGTTTTAGTTGTTTAGAAATTGTTAATAAGCTCATGAAACTATACAATCCTTAAGTCTATGTTTATAATAAAATACAGTATATCTCAGTAAATGTTCTCTTTGCGGTTGGAAAAAGTTGGTATATATCAGCTGCAGAAGACTAAGAATATAAACATTCATAAAACACTTAAAAATGTAATTATTTTTCAAAATGACACATGATATAGAAACAGTAAAAACAGAAAATCCAAAACCAATAAAAACATGTTTAGCAACATATACATACTGATTGATATGTGGATGTTTATATGCATTCTTGTACACACACACACACACACACACAAATTATGAATTAGGGTCACTCTAATCTGACTGAACACCAGGCACTACAAACAGGTTCATGAACAACTTCTAAAACAAAAAAACAATGTAACTATTAATAACAATAAATGCAATCAAGCAATGGTTGGAGAAAATGTCATTCAGCTGTCTATGTTCTGAGCCATTACCAACTCTTTAGTAAACACAAACAATCTGTTATAAACTCCAGCCTTGAGATGACAAATCATACCAAAGAATCACCCAATTCTGTCCTCATCAGTTTGTCCTCATCACTCTATCACTGACTTAAAAGAATTTTCTAATGTGTAACAACAATTGAAGAAAATAGAAAATGTGTTCAGGTCTTAACAGAATATTCCATTTCTTTTTACTACAGGACTTTATATTCCCCCCTGAATGGGATATGACAAGGTAAACAGTTGTAGTCACATGAGTTTAGATAGTGGGCTAATTTCTGGACAGTAGATTTAAAATCACCATCCTATCTCAAGCAGTCATGGTTGGTCATTTACAGACAAACAGAAGTTTCCAGACTATAGGATTAACTGTGTTTGAAGACAGATCTCCACCACAGAAAAAAAAAAAAAAAAAAAAAAAAAAAACATGTTCTTTAGTGTGCTTCCAGTATCAATAATGCTTCTGACTAGGATACAGGTTTCCATGAGAGCAATATCACATAGCACTTGAACTTTCGTCTGTGACTACAAGAGCTCGGAAACTTGACATTGAGCACCAACAGGTGCATACCTGTTGGGTTATATGGGCTTATGTGAAACACACCCCAAATGCATTTGCTCAACAAACAACGACCTTTGATCCAGGGTAAGCAGGTATTCTAAGATCAGGAGATGTACAAAATTGCTTTTGAAATAAATATATCCTAATATTCAACTCGTCAATGAAGGACAACAGCCACCGTCTGCATGCTATCAATCATTCATGTTTGTCTTCATGGTGATAATATGGGAGAAATGACCACAGTTAATTCTCTTAGAAAGTAACCTCTACATGTCCAAAGGACAAAGTACTTCATCCAAGCAGCCAGCTCAGGATGTCAGTCTTGAGGATAAAAGCCCTTTTCCTGTGAGACAGTTGCCTCCAACATGAGAGTGTGGGCACTCACCCTTATATAGTTGGGGATACTTCTTAAAAGATGCCAAGGTTATCAGTGTGTACAAGTGACTGTGTGTGTGTGTGTGTATGTGTGTGTGTGTGTGTGTGTGTGTGTGTGTGTGTGTATGTGTCTGTATTCTTATAGATCTTAGGATGTATGAATTGCAATATTGTAAAACTAAAACTGGTGCTGGGGATGGGCCTTACCCTCTCCAAAGAGCAGACAGGAGGTGGGGTGGGGAGAAATGGGGGAATGGGAGGAGAAGAGGGAAGAAGTAATGGGGATTGGAATGTAAAAAGTAAATTAATAAAAAAATAGAGATTTGAAGAACAAAAAATGCCTCCAAAGTTAGTGCTGTTATCCTATTTATGAATTAAGAAACTGATTAAAAGAGTTGATTAAAATGCCCAAGACATATAGCAAAGACAGAAATCTAGATTCAACTCCTTGTTGTGATGTGGGATGTCCTGTATGCAGCTAATATGTGTTGCTATTATTGGTTGATGCTGCTTTGGCCTATGGCAGGACAGAATATAGCTAGGAGAGAAAACCAAGCAGAGATACAAAGAAAGGCAAAGTCTGGGGGAAGCCATCCAGTCACCAAAAGAGAAATGGTGATGGTCTTAGCATAGACAGTAAGTCACGGCCTATGCTATTACATAGAATAATAAAAATTGGTTAATTTAAGTTATAACAGCTAGTTAATAATAAGACTGAGCTAATAGGCAACACAGTTTGTAATTAATATTAAACCTCAGAGTGCTTATAGGGGAACTGGCGGATGAGACACTTCCAGCTGCATTGCTGTCTTGCTAAAACCCATCGTGATATCATAAAAATATGAAGAATTTACTAATTCATTGAACAAAACAGCAAATTATCAGGTAAGTAGTTTCTATCACGGTTGGAATTACTAAAACCTTCCTTGAGAAGCTCAGACTCCCTGGAAATAAATACAAATCCCCACTCACCCACTTTTCTACTTACTAAAGGGAGAAGGCAGTTGCTGACCTCTTACTGCACATGGCTAAGTGTTTGACATTGATTACTTCATGTAGTCGATTCTCAGAGCAACACCAGGTTCGATTTAGAGCTAATATCTACCAAAATCTCCTGTTTTTAGCTTTAAGAACTATGAGGTTTAGAAGGGTTGAGAATACATTTTTAGTTGCTTTTCTTTAACTTGATACTTTATATTCTTTAGGGATTCCTCTGCCATAGTGTGAAAGAACAGAGAAAAGCTGGGAGGCACAGGGCAGCTGGAGAAGCCTTTTTAGGTAGCTTATATATTGAAAATAAATACTACTCCTTCTGTCTAAGGAGATGGAAACAGCAGACAGATGGAAAAACATATCCATTGTCATGAGACCAAGAGGCACCTGTTATAATCACAGCACAGAAGCAGAGCAGAGATGGGAGGGAGAGCTTAGGTGATGTGGCTGTGGGGGCTTGCACTTTGCACTGAAGGAAATGAGGGCTAAGGAAAGAGATTCCACATATACACTTCTAGGGCCATAGTGTGGAGATTGTGCTAAAAGATGACATTACAGAGGGACAGCCCAGAGTCCTCTCAGCTAGAAGAGAAGTTCTTGAGAACCACAGTGGGGATGGGTGAAACTTCCTAAAGGAGATCCTGATCTTGCAAAGAGAAATTAGAAGTTACTCTTAAAAGTACTTACTGAAACAGATTACATTTTGTTTCTTTTTGTCTGACATTACCTTTCTTTGTGTAAATTAGGATGACAGACTGGGTCTCTGAATCCATTTCTCTTGTGTTATTGAACAAGCATTTCACATGGAAGCTACAGTTGTGGTTTAGTATTATACTTTGTAATTCTCAGAAAATAAATTTAAAAATGTTATATGTCTTGTTTTTTTTATTTTTTACTGTTTTGTTTTTTTCTTTTTCTTTTTTTTTTTTTATTTGTGGAGTAAGGGGAAGACACCTCCATTGCTGGTGGGAGTGCAAACTTGGACAGCCACTTTGGAAATGTGTCCTATTCTTAATGCTTTTATCTCTTTATCAGGAACCCAACTCTTTTTTTCCAAAGGCATCTATCTATCTGTCTATCAATCATCTATTTATCTATCTATCTATCTATCTATCTATCTATCTATCTATTATTTATTTGGGACATTTCTTTTGAAATATTGTCTCATGAAGCCCAGGCTGTCCTTGAACTCTCTATATAGCCAAGGTAGCCTCCAACTACAGTTTTGCCTGGCTCAGCCTCCAAATGTTGAACTTCCAAAGATGCCCAACCATACCAGGGTAGTTATAATTTTTATGATTAAAAACCAAAATCCTCTTACTCTTGTGGAACAACTAAAAATCACCAGTTAATAAAGTCAATTGAAATATCAAATTTCATCAAATGATGGTCAGGTAAGATGAAATATCTTACTCAATATAGCTTTCATAAAAAAAAAAGGCTGGGTATCTTTTGCTTTATGTCTAGTATCTACTTATGTGTGACTACATACTATATTTGTCTTTCTGGGTCTGTGGGTCTGGATTACCTCACTCAGGATGTTTTTTCTAGTTTTATCTATTTGCCTGCAAATTTTAGGATGTCATTGTTTCTTACCACTATATTGTATAAATGTACCACATTTTCTTTATCCATTCTTCAATTGAGGGACATCTAGGCTGTTTCCAAGATCTGGCATAACACAATCCACAACCCCAGAGAAGCTAGAACCTTTTTCCAAAAACAGATGCAAGAAGATGCAGAAATCCATAACTAACCATTGGACAAAGATCCTGGAGCACAACAGAAGTGAGGAAGGAGCCATAATATGAACAAAGGAGTCAAGACCATGATAGGAAAACCCACAGAATCAGCTGACCCAAGCTAGTGAGAGATCACTGACTGTGGTCTGACAAATGGGAAACCTTCGTAAGACTGAACTAGACATCCTTAATACAAGTGGCAATGGTGCAGCTGGGACAATATGTGAGGCCACTGGCAGTGGGTCCAAGGTTTAACACTAATGCACAAACTGACTTAATGGAGCCCATTCTATGTGGAGAGATACCTTGCTCAGCCTAGACACAAGGAGTGTGGGGGGTGGAGAGGTGCCTTGATCCTGCCTCAATGAAATGATGGAACAGACCTGGTAGACTTCCTAGGGGAGGCCTTACCCTCTCCCAGGAGCAGATGGGAGGTGGGGTGGGGGGAGGAGGGGAGAGTGCGAGGAGAGGAGGGAGGGGGAACAGGGACTGGAAAGTAAAAAATAGGTTAATAAAAATAAATAGACAAAACCAACAAAAAAGAGGGGAAAAAAGTCAATGCACATGATTCCATAATACTGAACTGTATGACCAAGACACATTTTCATAAGCTCAAAAAGCACAATGACATTCAAGAAAGTGGTCACTCAGCATTTACCTTGGTTATGATCCTGTAAGTGATAAAAGTTTCAATTGTAGTAACGTGGCTTTCAGGTGCATCAACTGTAATGAAGAGATCCTTTAAATCAGGTTCATCTTCAAACTTGATTTGGTTTATCATTGACAAAGGAGATGTTGGCATCATAGGGCTGAAGGAGTTCATGTCCATCAGTGAGGCATCCTAAGGAACAAAGCGTTTATAAAGTTAGCATCAGACACTGGCAATAAGGCTCAGTTGGGAAACAGCCTGCTGAGTTCAGGCTGTTTGATGATATACTTAAACATGAGAAGCTGAGTTCAGATCCCCAAGACCACCAGAAAGGCCAGGTGTTGTGGTGCACATCTGCAATGCCAGGACCAGGGAGGCAGACAAAAGTGATTCCCTGAGGCTCATTGGTCAGTCATCCTCGCTGAATAGATTAATTCCAGGTTTAGTGAGAGAGACTAACTCATAAAAATAATATGGAAACCTATCAAGGAATACACCCATCCACCCAGTGCTGACTTCTGGCCCCCACATGAATGTACACATATAATGCACGCTCATCTGCATATATGTATACATATATGCTCACAAACATATATATATATATACATATATATATATCACATTCATACACAAACTGACTTCAAAACAAATAGCAACAATTTTCAATTTCTGAGATACTAAGAATATCACTAAAAAATATGACAAAAGCAAAAAGGAATCCAGGACTCATAGTATGTGTATGTACCTAAGTATTTATTTTTATATGGATATGACACACATTTTAGTCTATGCTTGTTCATAAATACCTCAAAAATGATGAGAGAAGATGGAAACTTTCAAGATTCCACTGCTTTGAATGTTTGCATTATCTCTAAACTACAAGTTGAAACTTACTCCATGATGTAATACTTTGAAGAGAAAGGATTGAGTTATAAGGGTACAGTCTTGTTAAGTAGCATGGGCAACCTTATAATGAGGCTGCAGATGCCACTTTCCACTTTCTTCTTTTTTACATGTGAGGACATAGAAAAAAATAAAATAAAACACCACTGGGGGAGCAGAGCAGTCATCCCAAGATGCCAAACCTGTCAGCACGTTCACCTTCTAGAACTATGAGGAATTGATTCTATTTCCAAAATGGCTCTAGAATTGGAAGCATCCAAAGCTGATCACATAGGTGGAAGCTGAGCTAAAACTCAGAGAAACTGTTTAAGTATATCATCAAACAAAAGCTAGGGTCTGGGAGATGGCCCAGGTGATAAAGCCCTCACCACACAAGTGTCAGAACTGGGATTTCAATCCACAATACTCATAGCAAAGCCTGGGAGGTGGAGCATGCATCTGCAAATGTCCAGCAAAAAGAAATGCTTGGCTGAAACAGCTGAAGAGGTGTCAAGTGCGGCACAATCATGGATGAGACAAGGATAATAATGGCCCTTGATGACAAAAAGGTACAGGCTATTGTAATCACAAAAAAGATTTGTGAAGGGTAACCGTTTAGGTGTGATCTGAACCAAGTAGTAAAGGGCAGATTTCATGGCTAGTTAGGTTCATCGGATGCCCAAAAATACAAAAACAAGAAATACCCCGAAACAAAAGTTTAATGAGAAAATTTCTACAACTATTCTAGGACAAAATAAACTATACCCAGATGACATAATATAATAAACGGTCAAAATAATCAAAAGCAATGTTTATTATGTTTTAAACATTTATTTTAATGATGTGTCTTTTATCTCTCTCTCTCTCTCTCTCTCTCTCTCTGTGTGTGTGTGTGTGTGTGTGTGTGTGTGTGTGTAGGACTAAGAGTATGCGTGTGCAAGGCCTGCAGATGCCTTTAGAGGATATCAGATCCCCCCAGAGCTGTAGTGACCGGTGGTTGTCAGCCACACTATTTGGGTGGTTGGGAACAGAAACCAGGGTCTTCCAGAAGAGCACTACACACGTGTAACCACTGAGCCTTCTTTTCAGTCCAATGTAGTACTTGGGAAATATTTCATGGTGCACTACTGAAAAAGAAAAAGTGCTCATAAAACCTGTGCCCAACTAGAGTCTAACGCTTACATTTCTGATAAAGGAAATGAAAAATGGAACAAAGGGGAGGAAAAAAAGAAAGTGATAGGGTATGAACTTAGCAACCATACTGAAAAAAAATAAGTTAACATAGGTGTTTCAGACATTGCTGTCTCGTGTTGCAGTTAACCAAGATCTTGATCCATCTAACCTTTTGTGGTTGGTGGATTTGGAGAGAAATGGATCTTTAACATTTGTTCTTCTCTAACAAAGACGCTGTCCTCGGGTTTTTTTTTTTTTTATGTGATGCTTTCTACATTTTTCAAATATTCTAAAATCAATATACTTTTTCTTATGATCAAAAATTATACTAAAATTGCTGGAGTCAACATTGTAAATGCTAATGTTCAGAAGCAACAAGAACCACAATTGTTAAGACAGTTGTCTAGGGCCATGTGGCAAGTGACTTTCTATTGCATTTGGATAGTTTTCTTTTTTCAGTTCATCGAGGTTTACATGGCCAAAAAATAATAATAATAATAATAATTAAAGTATTGCAACAAAAAGGATAACAGTTATGGAATGCTACATAATAGAATCCTAAGAAGCATTAACAGAATCTAGAGCTGCCAAATAAATATTTCACAAGTATGTACAAAAATCTCTCTCACAAACCATCCTATATAAATAGTAGTATTCTAAACTGACAAGTTTTAATGTGGTAGGCGAATGTCCTTTCAATTTCCCTGACACTGCATGCAGTCCCATGCCCTGCTTCTTCTGTGCCTAACCTACTCTGTTCACCACCGCCCACTTCTTTTACCCACTGCGTAATTTTGTGTTCTATTTCCTCTGCTTAAAATGCAGCCTTTTGTAGAGTGGGAAGGATCTGGGTTGGTTTATGAAGGCATAATTCCGTTGAATACAGTGTGGTGTCATAAAAATATGCTTCTATATCCAGCAAAGGAAGAAAATTACAGGCTGAAAATTTAGATTGTATGGATGATTTCAGTAGAAGGATTTAAGTTACAAAGAATTCCTCAAAAACATTCCTAAAACTTCAATAAACACTCCCAGCTATCCAGTGTGTTTTAGATTTGTTTGCCCCCACGAAAATGAAAAAAAAAATGCTGACATTACATAAAGGATGTGCACTGACATAAATAACTGAGGGAAATAAGTGTTCGGAAGATACACAGAAGCAATTAACCTATTTAACCTTTTGCGGTTGGTGATTTTGGGTTATGGGTCCTCTAACAAAGGATTCACCTCCACCATTCCTGACCCTATCCTCTCCCCCTTACTCTCTCTCAACTTTGAAACATGCATGCACATTATCTGACAGTCTTTTAAGCATTGGGAAAAAAAGCTTTTTTTATTTTTTTTCTCCTAGACATGACAGCAGAAGGGACATAATCTCTGGGACAAATCTCTACTTGAATTATGTTTAATACCATTTCAACAATGAAAACACACACACACACACACACACACACACACACACACACACACACACACACACACACAAACCAAGATCTGAATATATAATGAAGAAGAAAATTTGGCACATTATTAAAAGTCATTGTGTTCTGTATTTACTCAAAAGCAACAGTCCACTCACTGATAGAGAGAACATTTAAGCAATTCCCAAAATGAATGTATTGGGATGGCCAAATCAGACACAAATTAAATGCAATTTTTCCTGTTGTTATTCTTGGTTCTTTAACTGTTTCTGTACTTATGCTTCCTCCACACCCAAATCCTTCAAACTCATATATTGAAGACCAATACCTCATACCTTTGAATGTGACTTTATTTAATGAGAGGCTCTTTGTGTGTTTATGCTTTTTCATGTATGTGTGTATGTACTTATGTGGGATACAGATGTGCTTGAGAGTGTGAATACCCCTGGCGGACAGAGGACAGGGGAGTAGGTAGCATTCCTCAGCAGTTATTTATCTCCTTTTAGTCAGGATCTCTCTTTGTCTCAGACCTCTCCAAGGAACCTAGGCTGATTGACCTGGGAGCACCAGGACCTACCTGCCTTTATCTCCCTAGTTCTATGCATGTAACCAGACCTAGCCTTTTCTTCCTTCCTTCCTCGCTTCCTTCCTTTCTTTTTTCTTTCCTTTTTTCCTTCCTACCGTTTGTTCTATCTTTCTCCTTTCTTCCTTTTTGTTTTTTTGGTTTTGTTTTGGTAAACATGCATAGGTTTTGGGGAATAAAACTAAGGTCCTTGCACTTGGACAACTGAGCTGTCTCTGTACCTCTGACAGGGTCTTTCTAGAACTACTTATGTTTAAATAAGTTCATTTGGCCCATAGTACCTGCACTGATGTTGTAGATTTGAGTTCAGCCACCAGTAACCACAGTAGGTGGCTCTTAACTGCCTGGAACTCTAGCTCCAGGGGAATATAATACCTCTAGCTTCCATGGGAACCCACCTCACCACCCTCATCCACCAACCCCCCCCCATACACACAATATCCCACACACAATTAAGACAGTAAAAATATATTTTAATAGTAAAATAAGTTCATTAAAGTGACACCTAATTTAATATAACTGGTATTTTTGTAACAGGCATTTTATAAAATGAGAAAACATAGTGTCAAAAAAAAGAGGAAGAAACATAAAGATAGCTATGAATAAGCCCAGGTGAGGTACATGGGATAGGTACTTTCCTCACAGCCCAAGAAGAAAGACTTACTCCAGATCTGGGAACACACCATTTTTTGTTGTTGACATGTCCAGTCTGCTGATAATTTGTTATAGCAGCACTAGCAAACTAAAACAGTGTTTCTGCACATACCTTTGAACATAGTGAAAGCCTGAGGATGGTGGGAAGAGTGGAAGGAAGACGCAATGATAAAGTGTCATCCTTGGTCCATCCTTTTCCTGTTTTGTGGGTTAATACCCAACTCCAGTAATGATTCCTAGGAGGGGCTTCCAGCTCTCTCCTAGTTTCCAACTGAAATAAATCAAATCCAAACTAAAATTTAAAATCCAGGAGGGCTTGTCAATAATTGAATGTTCAGAAGATAAACACTAACAGAAATACATTCAAAGGTGAGCCATGACCTCTCCAAGCAGTGTCCTTTCTTAATATCCCTCACTAACAAGCTACTCGGGATCTCTCATGAATATAACATGAATTGCTCTGATAATGCTAAATCACATCCACCATCTGTGCGCAAACAACGATTTTCTTTTTACAAGTAGAGGAGGAAGAGAAATCAGTGTGAGAAGTGTGATAAATCAGAATACTGGCATGAAAAGGCCATGCGAATAAAATTGCTGAGGCACGAGAAACACGAACACCAAGAGACATCTGGTTAAAAAAAAAAAAAAAAAAAAGCAACATCAAGTAGAAGGAGTTTGAGAAGCTGTGGTAAAGAGGGACACTCATCGTGATAGACCTAAATTTAGGCTTGCCAGCTGTGTTTTGATTTACAAATCCTTCCAATCTGCCTGCTTATAATAATAATAATAAAAATAAAGGAGACGGGCCCAGGAAGACTGCTGAAGATGTGATTGGAGGAAATGCTACCACTGCCATTTTCTGTAACAGAGCACACAACATTCTAATCTTGTTTGACATAATTTCCATTTCTCAGTAGTGTATACATCCTTGCAAGCATATACCACAATTCATTTATCCATTCCTCAGTTTCTTTCATCATTTAATGTCTTAACAGTACTGCCTTGGATATGATTGCATCCCCTTGGGCTTCTTGCACTACAGTAACATTCTGAACAAAGACAGTTGTGCATAATTTTCCTTGACACAATTTTCCTTCCTGGAGAAAGAAAACAAAACAAAACATGCTATGTAATTACAGTCTGCTTTGTCTCTATCCAAGCTCCTGCAGAGATTTAATTAATGGTGTGATGATATTGAAAGGCAACGAGATCCTGATTTTCTGGAGTTTAATTTCTTGTTTTCAGTCTTTTAGAAAGGTCATCTATCAACTGGCACCCCACAGTAGGAAGGCCACAAATATCTCTACCATTTATAAATGTTAGACTTATTGTAGGGTGGGGCCACACACAGCAGCCTGGGTGTGGAGGTCAAAGAACAACCTTTAGGGGCTGGTTCTCTCTGCCCAGTGTGGGCTCTGGGAATTGAACTCCATCGTCAGACTCCAAAAGCAAAGTCGTTTAATCTGCTGAGCCACCACACCAGTCCATACACTGCTCTGTCAATAGATTCCTACAGTTCTCTCAAGGCTACATTGGTTCTCTGCAAAGTAGGGTAATAGAAGGGACTCAGTGCTTTGCTGCCTGCATTATGCTGTCACAGGCCAACTGGGTCTTCCATGTCCATCATGAACTAAAGCAGCAAGATGCCCTGGATAGATAGGGCTTCCTGATCTCAGAATAGCCAGCCTCCACATCCATGATTTTTTTCCTTATAAATTGATCAATCACAGGTATTATATCATAGCAACACATAAAGATTTTGAAATAGTACATTAAAAGAAAAATCCTCACAGTCAGGCAGAGATATTCTCAATTCAAATTTAGTCAGAGTTGTAAATTTGGTCAAGTTACTTGGAGATATATATATATATCATATATATATATATATGATATTTATATATATATAAATAAGATTGTTTCAAATATTGAAACAATCTTATTTTACATATCAATCCCAGTTCCCTCTCCCTCCCTTGGCTTTCAAGTTTTCAGTTACAAATTCTCAGAAAAGTCATATTTTACTCTGAATCATGGAAGGGCAGTGAGGAGAAGATAATAAATAAATAATAAATGTGACTTTCAAACAAATGTGTGTTTGAAGGTGTTATATACATTATCTTTGTCACTAACAGACAAAACATAGATTTTGGGGATTCTGAAGCTTTCTGTTCTCTGTTAAAATATTTTCAATTTGGCCACTATAATGAAATTGTTTACAGACAATATATAAATTAATGTACAAGCCCGTATTCTAATAAACCTTACTTACAAAATGAGTCCAACTGCATCTACCCTTGTTTATGTTATAGCTACCTGATATGTAAACTTTATCTTAAATGCAATGGAATATACTATTAAATTCATTTTTCTTATCTTTTGCAGTGGTGAGATTGAACCCATGACATTATTTATACTAGGCAAGTAATCAGTCACTTAGCTACATTTCAGCACAAAACTCACTCGAAAAAATATTTTAAAAAAAGTATATTTAAGTATGATACAGTTACAGTCTTGATTAGAAAAAAATCTACTAGTTTTCTCATAGAATTTACAAATACAAATTAGGAGGGTTTTTTGTTTGTTTGTTTCTGTCTTTTTAATATTGGCATCCACATGTGTGCTTCAGTTAACACATAGCCTCTCTATCATTTCAAAGATATTTGCACCAGGAACGCTAAGTCTGCACATGATAACAGGCCTACTGAAATGACTTTTTTTAAAGCCAGTCTGGGGTATTGGATGCAGGCAGGAAACATCAGCCAACTTTCCAACTGTGAATTCAGTGATGACTAACTGGAAAGAGAATAAGCCAGGAAAATTCTCTAACGAGAACTTCTCTAAAGAGGTTGACAGTATGAATTCTACAGGCAAAATGCTGCACAATGCTGTACACTCAACTGGGGTGTGTAGGCAGAACTGTTTCTAGCACAGCCCATGTGCTCTTAACAGTCATGGATAAAATGGACTTTATAACATAATAAAGTAAAAACAGTCCACCAAACAAAGATGTGGCATTGACAGACATTTTCCAAGGAAAGGGCCGAGATGTCACACATTTATAGATCATTCTGGGGAGACTTATTATATGCTAATACACACACTAGAAAAACCAACTGATAACTCAAATAGAAACACTCAATATTTTCATTCCCTAGTAATTCTAAGTAAACTCATATATTTTACACAAAATGACTCACTCAGAAAAGGGAATTATGCATGAGGTGCAGCATTTAGGAAACATTCACAGATTTTTTTGGAGTCTTTCTCAATAATAACTGAGAAATATATGTTCTACTTACTTTAAATTAAAGGAACCCTGCATCCTAAATTTTATCCCCACAGGGCCTCTTCTGACTACATGGAAAATTTTGTTATATCCCATATGGAACTAAGTAGTCACATTTATATCTCCAACTAGATGATCAATACATTACCACTACCACAATATACACTCTTAAGAAAACATAAGCTGAAGTAATATTGAAATATACTTGTATGATTCTCAGAAGATCCCATTACAAATTTCAAGTAGATGATTATACAGCACAATAGTGAACACTGAGCTTCCTAAGTGAGAGCAATAATTGTGTGTATTATTTTACTTAATCCGCTCAACAAACTGATATAGGTAAATGTCATTTAACTGCCACCCAATTTTTTGTTGTAGTGTAATATTAAAATTTACAGAGCTAATAAGATATAACCATTGTCACTACCAAAAAAAAACTACTATCATAGCTTTATTTCATTTACTAAATGTTCACTGAGTACCCATTCTGTGTCTGTCTGAAGAAATAACAGTGGCCAATAATGGGGGCGCTTCAGCTTTCATGAAGTTTGTATCATAGCTGGTTGGGTGGGAAGGAAGTAATCAGTTTGTTTATAAATGTAAGCAAATGAACCCTAGAGGAACAAGACCATTTCCCTGTGATGCAAAGATAAGCTTTGATGATTTGGTTTGGCTTTGTAAACTAGATATGGTTGCAATCAACTGTAATCCTAGCACTTAGAAAGATCAGATGGAGTGTAAGGCATGCCTGAAGTTCTTCGTGACACCCTGTCTATACACACTGGCAAACAAAACAAACAAAAACGGGAATATCAATGAAGTGAGGAATAGGTTCTAGTGAAACAGGAGCCTTGCTAGGGAACAAGGAGGTAAAGGAGCATGAAGAGTGCTGTAAAGCTGTCTTTGAGGAGGGGGGCTTTAAGAAGGCACTGTGAAGTTGTTGTGTACAGTACTGAGGCAGGAGAAGTACAGTAAAGAGATCAGAAAGCCCAAGGGGGAAAAAAAGGTAAATACTGGAGGGGCAGACTGGAGATGCAAGGATGGATAATGGGTTTTCACGAAGGAATAACCAATAAAAACAGTTGAAAATATACAGAATTAGACTTCCAGGTATTCACATCTTTGTGTCTTTGTGAGTGAGAAGTGAACTCCAGAATAAACAGTGCCCTTGAAATCCAAAAGCAAGATATCAGTTACACAGCTACACCCTGCTGAGTAGCTGTGTATTCAATGTGGTCTTACTGGGACTATGAATGGACACTAGCCAAACTAGATGCAATTAATCATAAAACCAATGCAGTTACAATTATCCTCAATTACACATACATGATGCATTACATAATGGGAAATTTTCCTTTTTAAAAATACTTAATATTTTATTACAAATCTGGGTTTCTTTCTTCAGAAAGACATGGTGTATTAACTGCTTAAAAGTTTTCTACAGGACCAAAGTTGGGTAGTAGGATTCTTCCTGTGATAGGACTATACCACCTGCTAATTGCCAGGCAATCTGTAGTGCCCTTCTGGGGAAGGAAGAACAATCAAGAGGTCTGACAGAGACTGTTGGACAGTGGGATGAATCTGAACAGAAGATTCCAGAAGCATTGCCCATTACCATTATTGTACTTGATCTTTCCATTCTGACACAAGAACAGCATGTCCCAGTTATCAGTCGCTTACTTAGCATGGACTAAAAATGATGTGGAGTAACAGGGCAGGCTCAAAGCCTATCAGAGAGCCACAGTTCAGTGTTGACAGAGTCACAAGCACAGAATAAAGGTTTATTGTTAGAAACTTGAGATTGCTGTGCTATGACACACCCTAGTGAAAACCAAAGATGCTCAAGGAGTTAAAACGCACATCCACATTTAACTATCCCAGTCTTTGTACAAGAAAAACAACTGGGGTTCTTTGTTTTGTACAAGAAAAACAGTTGAGG